CCGTGCTGTCCAACCGAGCCCCCAGGACAGCCTCAGTCTCTGTGACAAAGTAGACTCAGCCCAACTGGGTGTCACAACTTCTCCAAGTCCCATCAAAGACAGAGCACAGCTACCCTCTCTGAATCAAGTTACAGGTTACCGTGTGAGCCAGCACTATGCTTCTTTCCAATTTTAATTGAATGAGAGGTTGTTTCTTTTTTCTTTCCAGTTGTTTCATTGATTGTTCCCCATTAACGACACCAAGGGATTTTTTTTTTGGCTAAGGAAGATTCGCCTTGAGCTAACATCTATGCCAGTCGTCCTCTATTTTGTATGTGGATGCTGCCACAGCGTGGCTTGATGAGCCGCATGTAGGTCCGAACCCGGGATCTGAACCCGCAAACCCAGGGCTGCCAAAGTGGAGCCCACGAACTTAACCACTAGGCCATGGGGCTGGCCCCCAAGGGAGATTTTTAAAGGAAAACATTCACCATAGTCCCACCACCCTCCATCGGGGTTCCTCCTGCTAAACTCCCTGGTTCTATTAGTTGTTAACCCTCCTTTTGCAATTGGCTCGTTTCCCCTCTGGCCTCAGAATGGAAACAAGGGGGTCCAGATGGCGTTCAAGCCAGTCCGTGTCGGAGAGCCAGTGGGGAAGGGGCGAGGGCAGCTCTTAGTTAGGCTGCCATACCTCATCTTGTCCGTGTTGTGAGGGCAGTGGGACAAATGCCATCCCAGGGACCCCTGCCCTGCGGAAGGACGGTCATCTCATTGCTGCTCATCTTTGGAGTGGGACCCATTTGGAAATTAGTCCCTGGGGGTGCGGGCTGACTTGTATCACCATTGGAGGGGCAGGGCTCTCATTTCTAAGTCCAGGGCTGTCTGAGCATTGCAGAGGTGGAAGGAGTTAGGAAGACCACTTGGGTTGTCAGGGCTGTCTGCCCCTTGCTCTTGGGCACTTGGGTTGTCAGGGCTGTCTGCCCCTTGCTCTTGGGGTGGTCGCTGAAGCAGAGGCCAGGGTGTTGGATTCCAGCCTAGCGGAGGAGCAGGTTAAGAGCATAGGCTCTGGAACCAGACGGCCTGGGTTCAAATCCCAGCTCTGCCGTTTTCTAGCTGTGTCATCTTGGGCAAATTACTAAACCTCTTTGTGCGTCAGTTTCCCCACTTTGGGGGCTCGCTGTGAGAATTAAATAGGTTAATTCATCTCAAGTATTAAAAAAAGGGGCCTGGTGTGTAAAAAGGACGGAATAAATGTCAGCTATATCACTGAGCTGAGCTAGGAGGTTGTGATGGGTACTTGGCATGTCTTGGGGCCTCCCCTTTCCCCATCAGAGCAATGGGAAGAATCACAATGTCCTTCTCTTATCTCCCTGCACTTTGGACCCAGGATGCCCAAGATGGATAACTGCTCCCATCAGCGTGGGTTGGAAATAGAACACTAGATGCTCATCTGACTGTTCCCCAAATGTCCACTTGCAAACTGAGACTGGCATCCAGCTGCCCACCCAGTGAAACTCGGGGCCAGGGGCCAGTGGATGTTTCTGGACAGTTCTCTGAACCAGCGCTGCCCCCTTTGACTATCTGGGGCCCGAGCTAGGGCCTCAGAGGGCAGGCCAGCCAGGTTCTCATAGCCTTTGCCCCCTTGCTCAGGACATGAAAGCCTGGTTTGCATAAACGAGATTCATGATGGTCTCCAGACCAGCAGGGCCCACACCTCTCCCAAAGCTTGGGGGCACTGCAGTCCCAGGGGTCTGGTGCTGGTCCTGGAGAGGGGCACACCCAGCCCCTGCCCTGGCAGTGCCCCAGAGCAGCAGCTGGGCTAACTGGGGAGAACGCTGCCCTAGGTGTCCGTAGGGCTTGGGGTACACGTGTGACTCTTAGAATCTAGTGGGACTGATGGCCATTAAACAGCTCATAATTGCATGTGGCAGGGCCACAGAAGAAAAGGCCAGGATGCTATGAGAGGATAGAATAGGGGACTGAACTTGGGCTCCCTCTGGGTCCTGGAAGACCTTCAGAAGCTTAAAACCAGGCTGGAGTGGGGCGAGGGCTGGAGGGGAGAGAGAACTTCGTATTCTGCTTCCATCACTTAACATCGCATCATAAGCTTTCCCCCACATCATTAAAAACTCTTTGTAAATATTGTTTTGCAAATATTTTTAATGTGCTGTGTTTTCCTAACTAATCCTCCAATTGCTTTGAGACAATTCAGCTGTCTCCAGTTTGGGTTTTTTTCACTATTGGAATGACGTGGCCGGAAGCTTTTCATCTCGCACACTGCAGCAGCTCGGAGTACTCCGCTGCACCGAGGGTGCTGAGTATGCCATCTCAGTTAACCCTCACGACAGGCCTGCAATGTGGGCCCTTATTGTTCCCATTTTACAGAGGGAGCAACTGATGCTCAGAGAGGTTAAATGATTTGCCAGGGTCACACAGTTAGAATGTGCTTAGCTGAAAAAAGGAATCTAGAACTTTCCAACTCTGGTGAGAGAAATCTAATTGCTATGTCATATGGTATCCTGGATTGTTTCTTAGGATAGGTTCCCAGAAGTGGAATTACTGGATCAAAAGAGCTTGGTTTGTTGTTGTTGTTGTTTTTAAGGTTGTTGACATATGTACTTGCAAACACTTTACACTGACATTAAACAGAGAAAAATGTGGGGGCCGGCCCTGTGGCATAGTGGTTAAGTTTGGCATGCTCTGTTTTGGTGGCCTGGGTTCGCAGGTTTGGATCCCAGGCACAGACCTACATCACTTGTCAGCCATGCTGTGGGACGACCCACATACAAAATAGCAGAAGATGGGCACAGAGGTTAGCTCAGGGCTAATCTTCCTCAAGCTAAAAAAGGGGAAGATTGGCAACAGATGTTAGCTCAGGGCCAATCTTCCTCAGCAAAAAAAAAAAAGAAAGAGAGAGAGAGAGAAAAAAATATGCTTCTAGCAGGTGACACATGCCACACTCCCCACGGTGGGTTTTTTTGTGGCTTCCTCCCTCCGTGTTTCTGTAGTCCCCCTCTCCACCCTGCCTTACCCTTCTATACAGCATCTCTTTATCCATTGTCCACTCAGTAAGCATTTACTATGCATCTATGTATTTCTCAGCACATCTGAAGGAACCAGGGGCCACAGGTGTCCTCAGCTGTAGCTGGCATTTATCTCACCCCTATATGGGTGTGCTGGGTGTGCCTGGGTGGCATTCCATTGAGCCCTTGAAGGGACCTGAAAGTTTCCCTACTGGCCTTGCTGGCCAGGTAGGGCCTCGGCAGGGAAAACACCCCCCTTTCCTTCAATGTCTATGCCTCCTCCCTCCCCCTGTTCCCCACTTCTCAGAAGCCACTGGGAATCCCTTGGGCCTGGGTGACACAAGAAGAGGACCATTGTCCCATTTCTCAGGTTCTGGGCAAGGTGGCTCTTCTGTGCTTTCATTTTTCCTGTCCTCAGTCTCCTTCATGTCATCCTACCTTGGCATCTTCCTCAGCTACCTTTCTTGAGGTCCTGGCCCACCGGGGAGCTTCCACTTGGGACTGGCCTGGAAAAGCTGCCACCTTCCTGGGCTGAGAGTAGCCCTCCCAACCTCTTTCTTCTCCCGCCTAGAAACCCTCCCCTCCATCCCTTATTTCTCTTGGTCTATAACTTTCGAGAATGCGGGGCACAACTCGAGATGATTTTCTGGGGCACGTAGGATAATTTCAAGTGGTAAATGAATGTAGCGTTAAATAACAGTGAACCACGTGGTAACAAAAGTATTTAATTATTTTACTTTCGATGCTCTGTTATTCTTTCTGATCCTGTCAAAGAGACAGTCTCTGTTTGATGATGATGAGTCTCTTAACATTTCTAACGTGGCTTTATTTTTGGTGAACTTATTTTTGCAATTACCTTCTATTTTAGGCAAGCAATACAAGAAGTCCATTTATGTTTTTATGTTTTCTGATTTTTTTGCATTTCTACCTATGTACCTAATTTTATAAATGGAATCATATCACACATGATTTTTTCTTTTTCTTTTTTTTTTTTTTGGTGAGGAGGACTAGCCCTAATCTAACCTCTGTTGCCAGTCCTCCTCTTTTTGCTGAGGAAGATTGGCCCTGAGCTAACATCCGTGCCCCTCTTCCTCTACTTTATGTGTGGGATGTCGCCACAGCATGGCTTGATGAGCAGTGAGTAGGTCCACCCCCAGGATCCTAACATGTGAATCCTGGGCCACCAAAGCGGAGCACGCAAGCTTAACCACTACGCTACCGAGCTGGCCCCTTTTATACATGATTTTTTTAAGCACACCTTCTTATCTTTTTCTTTCATTGCTTGCTTCGCCTCTCTCTCCCTTCTCCCACTGGCGTGACTCGGCCCCAGGATCAGCTACATAATTTGTAGGGCCCAGTGCAATATGAAAATGCAGGGTCTCTTGTTCAAAAATCATTAAAAATTTCAAGACGGAAATAGCAGAACATTAAACCAAGTCCCAGGCCCTTTTAAGAGCAGGACTCTGTGACTGCACATGTCACATACCCGTGAAGCTGGCCCTGCTCCATCCTTCCCTAAGCCACTTTTTTAATGTACCCATTTTAATAATCTCATGTGTGTTCTTCCACACTTTTCTCCATGCTCATGTAATCATACCAGTCCATAGGAGGGGTTATTTTTGGCCATTGTTTTACAAAAGCTATCTCATATTATATTCTCGTTTCCACATTTTGCTTCCTTACTCAACACAGCGCGGAAATTCCTCCAACTGGTATGAGTCTATTTCCTTCTTTATAAAGGCTGCACGAGACGCCACGCAGTAAATGGACCACAATTTATTCAGCAGTTTCCCCCAATAGATGGGCATTCACTCTGTTCCCAATTGTTTGCTGTTCAAAAAACTGCCATGAATATTTTTATATTCGGGCATCTTAATGCTTGAAAGCCAATTCACAGGAAGGGGTAAAGGTTCCTTTTCAAATAAATTTGTTGCAGCAAAAAAGTGAATCAAATTTAAAGACAAACGTGAAGCACAGGTCCAGGCAAAGGCAGAAACGATGTCTAAGAAGCAACGATCCTGCATCGGGGCCCCGTGAACCAAGGCCTGGATGGAAGGAGGGTGGGAGGTAACTTCTGCTTCTGTTCCTGTAGCACGGAAGTCAGAGAACACAAAAACCAGGCTCCCTTGGGACAGGGGACAGGAAAATGGCACACAGAAAACAAAACCCTTGAGTATATCAAGTATCAATAAACTGGCTTGGCGACAGTAGCCCTTGGAGCTGGCAGCTCCTGCTCACTCGTTCAGTCAGTCAATCAACAAATACTGTGTTGGTTACCCTTGGGGACACAGGGCTGACTCAGCCTTGGGCCCTGACTTCCAGGGTTTTCTGGTCTAGCAGAAAACATGTGTGCCTTTATGCATGAGAAAGTGGTTTGCCAGACCCAGAAACAGATGATACAGACTGAGCTAGAGCCCACCACGTACATACACTTGGACACACTCACGCACACACTCACACATACACACAAAGACATATTCAAACACAATGGTACACACACAGTCACAACCACAGACTCACACACACACCACAGTCACACACACATACACACTGCAGCCAGCATCCCAATCCCCCCACGCCCCCCAGCACACGTAGAAATACTGGAAACCACACTGGATCATTAGGACCGTTGTTATGGGAACCGGGATTCTGAAATCCTAATGTGTGGGCATCTGAATTCTTGTTCTGAATATTACATTAGCATTTGAGTTTATGCTCTGAATTCTGAGTCATTTCCCCTTCAGGGGGACAGGCTGGGCAGCCAACCAGGGAGTTGGTGAGGCCAGACAATTAAAGGCCTGATTACTTTCTCTCTGAGTGATGGAGTGGCCCAGACAGATACTTGTAGGAGAGGTGTGTCTGCAGGGGTGTGTGTGTGTGTGTGTGTGTGTGCGTATACATGCTTATTTGGATATGAGTCCATAGAATGTTCTCAAGTGAGGCTGAGAATGTGTAGCAGTCATGCTCGAGTCTGCAGCCCCTATATCAGTCAGGCCAGGCCAGGCAACAAGAACATCCCAAAATCTTCACGGCTTAACACAATAAAGGTTCACTTCTTGCACAAAATTTGAGTTGGGTCAACATCTGTCTCCATCTTGTAGTTGCGTCCGGAGCCCAGGGCCTCTCATCTGGCCACAGCAGAGAAGAAAGACATGGAGGAGGCTCACAGCCTCTTACCCACATTGGCCCAGCAGTGGGCACACACTCTTCTACCAAGACATCAATGGCCCCAACCTAAGTACAAGAGAGACTGGAAACGTAGAACAGCTCCTTTATGAGCATGAGGAGCTGCCACAGCCTCCCTCTGTGCTTCTGCAAACCAGAATATCATTGCCCAGCTAGAGCTGATTCCTTGAAGACAGTTCAAATCCTGGCTCTGCCACTTGCTGAATGTGTGGCCTCAGGCCATATATCAGTCAGGGTCCCAATAGGAAACAAGTGGCACACTCAAAATAGGAGTTTGAAGGGGGCTTCTTTAGAAAAGGACTATTTAGAAAGGGTAATGCAGTAACCAGGAGCTCGGAGCAGCTGAGCTGTTACCACTCTGGGCCCAAGAAGACAAGACCAGGGAGCTGTCAGTGAGACCCAGAAGGAGAGAGTCAAGGAGAGGTGACCACCTTGAGAGGAATGATGACTTTCAGATGAGGGACACAGCCTGCCCCAGGGATCTCACCGAGAGGGAGCCAGGGGAATACACACCATGACTTCACTCTCCTCCTGCCCTCCTATCTCTGCTGGGGCTCCCCATTGGCTGAGCCAAACAGAAGCCAAAGGGCCCAGGAAGATGCTGATTTAGTCCAAACAGGTCAACCTCCCAAAGCCAAGCAGACAGCGGCTCTGGAGGGACAAATGGCACCTGGCATGGACAACTGATTTCTATTCTTTGAGCATCTCTTTCCCAATTTGTAAAAAATAGATGCTAATATCCAGCTCACTGTGTGGTTGGAAGCAAATGGAATAATATATGCAATGACTTGGCATATAATCGTCCCTCGGCAAATGTTAGTTTCTCAGTGTCTGAAAGCACTTTGCAGTCCAGTGGTTCCCAGCCCAGGATGCGCCAATTACCCTAAAGTCTGGTATGAATTCTTCAAACAAAAATGACTTTCCTATTTTTGGGCTTCTTCTCTATGTCAAGTATTTTACAGGTCTTCTCTCCTTTTATCCTCACAAGACTTTCCTAAGTGTTATTGCCATCAAATTGGGACTCTGGCACAGAGAGGTTAGTAATCTATCCATAATCACTCAGCCAGTAAGCAGGTCTGGTCCCAAAGCCCATGGTCGTTCCTCCCTGCTCTGCTCTGATTTCTGAGGATGTGTGTGCAATTAATAGATGAAGTGGGGGATGCTGTAATTCCAAAGCTTGAGAATTTCCCTACCCTGAAGGGAGGCACAGGCATCCAAGGTCCAGGAGCTCAGCCTGAGCTCACCCACTCACCACGGCTGTTGCTGGTCAATTTCAGGTCACCCATCTCCAGCTCCATCTGGCCAGCACAACACCAGCAGTGCAGACAGCCACACCTCAGAGCCAGGTGAGCAAATAATCTTTCTGAGGTCTACGATCAGCTTTCTGAGACCAAACAGGTGGTCTCCTAGGGTGACAGGAAAGGGAAGTAGACTTTTAGGGCACCAGGGAGGCTGCCTAACTTCAGACAACACTTCTCCTTCCTGACCCCATGACTGAACCTTCACCATTAGACTCACTTTGAGATCTTAGAATTGCTGTCTTTGAGAGGCCACTGATAAAAAGTCACATACACATGGATAAGGTATTCAGCGAGCATTTTATGGGGATTTGTTGAGAACAAGGCAAAGAACTCTTGGTGGAGGTGGTCGGGTTCCATCAGGTGGGTCCTCGATGAACTCAACAGATATGTATTAAGGACCTACTCTGTGCAAAGCTGTGTGATAGCACTGGGGATGCAATCCTGGGCAAAAATAGGCAGGTGATTCCCCAAGAAAGGGCTCTGGGGAAGGGGAAACCACCATCCGCTGAAGCAGCCCATCTTCAACCCCAGTACCACGGCTGTCCTTCAGGGTTCTGGGTCACCATGGCAGCTGCCATGGTAGTACCCTCAGAACAGCAGAGGGGCCTGGGAGGGCAGCATGGCACCCACAGTACCAGGGAGGCTCTGAACGCAGAACTCTGCCCTTTCTTGGTGATAAGGGCAGGGGAGGAGGGTTTATGGGGACTGGACCCCTGGTTCTCTGTGGCCCCAGTCCTAACCCATCCTAACCTTTAGAGTCACCCTCAGCCCCACCTTCTCCTGACTCTAAGGAGAACCAGAGGGTCAGGCCTAAAAGGGGGCTCAGGGTTGAAGCAGCCCAGCCCCGTTTTGCAGACTGGAAGGCTGAGGCCCAGAGCAGGGTGAGGGCATAGGGTAGTGTCCAAGGTCACGCAGCAGATCAGTGGTGGAGCCCCTGGCAGCCCCCCGCCCCCACCCTCATCCCTGGGATAGGCCGAGTGCGAATCCGCCGAGGCCTCAGCTCGCGTCTCGCGCTTCCAGGGGAGTCGCTCAGGGTCCGCCTGGTGAACGGGAGCAGCCGCTGCAGCGGGACGGTGGAGGTCCTGCTCGGGACGGCCTGGGAGCCCGCGTGCGGGGCGCCCTGGGACCGCCGCGCCGCCGAGGCCGTGTGCCGCGCGCTGG